TTTTTTTTTTTTTTTTTTTTTTTTTTTTGCTCTTTCTTTTCTTTTTTTTTTTGACTTTTTTTTTAATAATACAAAATCAAAATAACAAAATAATAAATGAGCCCATTTCACAAATTTGAGCCTAAATTACAATCAAAATCTCAATCAAGCCCAATCCCAATTGATAACTAATAACCAACCCACTTAATTAATAAATCAATTAATTAATAATCCAATTAACCCAACCCAACAATAAAATAAAACCCGATACAACGATCACTCAAACCCGTAAACAACTCTGTGTTCTTATTAAAACTCACAACCCGTAAACAAATCTGTTTACACTCCAAACCAAGACAGGGGTCGACCGGCGGCGAGGAGGTGGGCGACTGGACGTCGCTGACTGCGGTAAGCTCCGGTGATTGCGGTGTTACTGTGGGCGGCGCGGTGAGTGTGCAACGATTGTAAGGTTATTACTGTAGTGCGGTTTTGGGTGCTGGACTGTGATGGTAACTGATGGTGCAATTGGCGAACTGACACGGCCCGTTTGGAGTCATGGTTGGCGGCGGCTTGGTCTTTGTTTCAATCATTTGACTGTAATTCCGGTAAGTTGGTTGTATGTAGGTGTCGGAGGGAGGGACTGGGTTCTGCAGCAAACTGGGTATTGTTTTGGTGGCGGTATTTGAGTGAAGACAAACTGGCACGATGTTAGTATGTTGACAGGAGGGAAGCCATGACCATGACTGAAACGGTTGAAGTTGGGATGAAGAAGCGGCTGAAGTTTTGTTTTGTCTGCAGCAACGGATTCTGTATTGGTGCTGCGTGAATTGCTGTCCAAGGTTTGCTCTGATACCAATTTGATGTAGTATAAATAACAAAGAAAGAAGAAGGGGAAGTGAGGAGAAGAGAAGAGAGGAACCGGGGAAGAACACAGAGAGGAGAATGGGGCTGTAGCCAAACTTTTATTCAATCAAATTCATCATCTCCAAATTACAAACCAAGATAGGTTTAAATAATAAAAACCTAGAAATATAGGGCCAAGCCCTTTACTTAAGTCCTAACTAAAATACGTAAACTTAAATAAAAGTCCAACTGAAACAATAATAAAAGTCCAACTAAAATACTGAAACAATAATAAAAGTCCAACTATAATGATGTCCTCATCACTTATATCTGTAATTGCTTGACAGCAACAATGTATGTGACAAGCAAATATTTTCAAACCATTTATAAACACTTTCCAAACACGCTGCTATTATAGAATGATTTTCGCAATGAAATGGAAAGGAATCAAATGAGAAATCATAGGAGGTGAAATATTCACAAATGCTCTTTACGTTAGGATACCTCTAGCCACCAAAACCAATTGATATATCCAACTTCTTCAAACAAAAGTATTTTTTTCATTTACTAGCAAAATGTTATTTGGGATAAGAAACATTGTATATGAATCCGATACAAAACCAAAACCTCCTCTTTTATCCCATGCCCGAAAAAGATCATTCCACAATCTCTTGAAGAGGACATTTAAAAACCTATACAAAATCTTGGAAATGGATAAATTTGCTGCTAAACCATTACTTTACAACATGCACAAAGTGATAATCAATGTATTGACCAAGTCAGAATTGGCGACATATGTTAAGGCTATGTTTAGGAACTCATTTTTTTTTATGAAAATCTCAAAAGGAGTTAACAGCGTATGACTGGGAAAGCCATGAGTGCTCGAGGGCTTGCCTAGCAGTCGGGCGCCTCTTTGGATTAGTCTCTAGCAAGTATCTTACAAACTCAACGAACCCAGAATCAGAAACCTGCAGTTGATGTTCCAATGATGTTTCCTCGGGGATTATGTACTCTAGTTGATCTGTTTCCTGTTGCAGAATTGCATATATAAATGAAAAATGTCAACTAGAAAAATGTAGTTACAAGAAAACTACCATTAGAATGTACAAAAACTTCATTTACAAGGTGAAGGCCGACTATTACTTGATGATAAATTTCAATGATATAATAACAGAAGTAGATACATTCGTTTCAGATTAAGGAAACCATTGACTGGCTAGAAAAGGGGTTGGCAGAATATGTTTAAGGAACTGAAGTTATAAAATGTTGAAAACTATATCATTAACAGAAAACAAATATATAGATAACTTATAACTTTCAGGAAAAACCTCGGAAATTTTTGAAATTGGTAGTTCAAAAAACTACAGGAAAAAATAACTTTCTAAATGACAACCTGAAGGAGAACAAAAATGGAAATAAGTTAAAAGAACAAACCTCATTAATATGATAAAGATCGTATTCTTTTGTAAAATACTTGTGCGTCTCCTGCCCTCTTTGCAAAATGTCCATGTCAATGGGACCAAGTGTTCCTATCATACGAGCAAGCAGCATTGGAATTGCTTCATTTGGAAAAAGAACCTGGCAGATTACAGATGATTTGAGGACACGAGTAATATTCACTAAGTACTGTGCATGAGATGTGCACGCAGGCTAGAAAGTATATTGAAGTAATTCTAGAATATACCTCCCCTGAGCATAGCTCGGCTAAAATGCAGCCAAGTGACCAGAGATCAATTTTCTGGTCATATGAGAGGCCTAAAATAACTTCAGGAGCCCTATAGGAACGAGATTGTACATAAAGGGAGAGGTTATCTTTCTGAAAGCAACTGCTTCCAAGGTCAATAACCTTTATCTCACATCTTCGATAACTTCTGATAAGAATATTTTCCGGTTTTAGATCACAGTGTATGATTCCCAAATCATGCAGATAAGCTAAAGCCTCCAAACACTGCTGAGTTATGACCTGTAAAGGAACAGACAACCTTAACATTTCACTTGGTACCAGCAAATTCATATCCAAACTGTTTCTTGCAAACAAAAGTATACTAATATCCTAAACAAAAACGTTTATGGAAAGAAATCAGATCCAAGAGAGGTTCCGTCAGAGAAGACCTGCAGCCTTTGCAATGTAAAATATGGCTCCCCACCAGATTCTCGATTAAATTTCTGGAATTCGTACAAGTTTGCTCGCAGAAGTTCAGTAACAATGAACAAATGTTCCTGTAAGAGAATTAAAAACAGAAAGTATATCACAATTGGTAACTAACTCATTGCACTACAATATGTCACTAATTAATGTGCTTTGACAACTTTGTAGTCATGAAGAAGTTTAGAGAGAAAATACTCCTCTTTTATAAGCAGATAATTCATCGCATGTGAATTAACGATGTGCATCCCAAATACACATTGTTAACTATCCTGCTATAAGCTTCTTAATGTAATTCAAAGAAGAAAAATAAGTATCCATAAATTCTGTCTTCAACTCTAGAGCTGAATTGTAAATGCCTTCACAACTCTCAACTGTTTATTCTCTCAAGCACTCAAATTGTTCGATGAGATCTTAAAAGTCAACAAGATGCCACATGGCTCAAGGAAGAAAATTATAGTTCCTATTTAGAAAAAGAAAGATGAAATTCAAGATAGTTCAAATTACAAAGGTCTAAGCTTATGAACCACGCTTTGAAATTATGGACGATTGTGATAGTGTATAGATTAAGATGTAATTCAAGAGTAGACCAGAACTAAAATTGGTGGTTGTGGTTGCTAAAAATCTACTTGATTTTGGCTCCCCCAATTATTGGGAAGAAGTTTTAGTTAATAAAGTTAACACTCAAAATATCATAGCTTTGTCTTATGAATTGGTCATCTGGAGTGTCAGAATACTGTATCAACTTGTAAAAGTCTCTTTGCCACAAAATCTAAAAATTAGATTCTGGATCAAAATCAATGAGCAGAGGCTGCGGAGAATGATTGTTCGTGGCTTAAACCCTGAGTATAACGGGATAATTACGGCGATTTGTAGCTAGCCGACACAATTATCTTTATATGAGCTCGGGAGTATCTTAGCTAGCCAACAAACTCTCAAGAGAGCAGGAATGTCATTAAAGAATGAGGAAGAGACACTCTTCAGTAATAGAAGAAGAGGAAGGCCAAGTCAAAATGTAGTTGCAACTATTGACTTTGGTTTGTCATTTTTGCTGTCACATTTTGTAATGTCTTTGTGTGTATTAAAATCAGCCTATGTTATGTCTATTTTTTTGTGATTATAAAGTCTATCAATGTATGGTTATTCTGCCACTAGGTAAGGCTGTAGTTGGTAGGAGTTGTAGGCTAATGGTATGGCTGAAAATCTCTTGTATTACACTTTAAATAGCTGCTGGTAATGGTGCTTTTATTCGATGAATTTTATACAGCAAGAAATCTGTTTTTCTCTTCCTCTTTGTTCTATAAAATCCTACAGTGGTATTAGAGCATTAACTGATCTTTGAAGGGGGCTGCAAGAGGTCGAGCTACAAAAACTTGAGAGAAAACAAGTAAGCAATCATTCATAAAAACAACCAAGTGACTTGTGAGGAAGTGAGATGGCTTCAACCGGTTTTTCAACACCTTTGCCTTCAGCATTCACAGGAGGAAATTATGACTTCTCGGCTGCTAAAATGAAGGCATATCTGAAGGCCTATGATCTGTGGGAAATCCCAGAAACTGGTATGGAACCACCTCCACTCAAGGCAAATCCCACCATAGCTCAATTAAAGCAACATAGTGAGGAGGTTGCAAAAAAATTCAAGGTTTTGTCCTGCATCCAGTCAGCTGTTTCTGATGCAATATTTACCAAGATAATCACTTGTGAGTCTGCCAAGGAGGCCTGGGACAGATTGCGAGAGGAATTTAGAGGCAATGCAAGGACTAGACAAATGCAAGTTCTAAACTTGAGAAGGGAGTATGAGGGATTGAAAATGAAAGAGGCAGAATTTGTCAATGATTTTTCAGATCGACTAATGAAGGTTGTGACCAAAATAAGGTTACTAGGAGATGATCTACCTGATAGAAGGGTTGTGGAGAAAGTTCTAATCAGTTTGCCAGAAAAATTTGAGGTAAAAATTTCATCACTTGAAGACTCCAGGGATCTTTCAATCATAACCTTGTCTGAATTGATAAATGCTCTTCAGGCTACTGAGCAAAGAAGATTAATAAGGCAAGAAGAGCAGGTAGAAGGAGCCTTGTTTGTTAAAGGAAAATACAAAGCACAAACAAGCAATGGAGTGAAGAAATACCAGCAGGAAAAGAAGAGGGGTGAAGGCAGCAAGGTTGCTGATAAAAAGGACACTTATCCACCTTGTATACATTGCAAAAAAATCGGTCATTCACCTAAATGGTGTTGGTATAGACCTGGTGTCCAATGTAGGAATTGCAAGCAACTTGGACATGTGCAAAAAGTGTGTAATAATCAAAAGGAAAACCAGAACCAGCAGTAGGCAAAAGTGGCAGAGGATGAGCTTCAACATCTGGAGGAGCATTTGTCTACTGCCATTAATTTTAAAGCCTGCAGCAATGTTAAAAATTGGCTATTGGACAGTGGTTGCACACACCATATGTCTTCAGAATTCAGCACTTTTGTTGAGTTAAACGGCTCATATAAATCAAGGGTGAAGGTTGGCAATGGAGACTATGTGAAAGTAGAAGGGATTGGAGTGATTGCTGTCCAAACTCCATCAGGTATTAAACATATTGTTGATGTACTTTATGTACCCGATATCGATCAGAACTTGGTAAGTGTAGGCCAATTGATTGAGAGGAGTTACACTGATTTTTAAAAATACTAATTGCACTATATATAATCCAAGTGGAAAGGAATTGATGTCAATTGAAATGAGGCAAAGAAGCTTTCCATTAGAATGGAAGAACATGACCTCTAATGCTTTTACTTGTACTGAAGTTGAGGCTTCACTTTGGCATAAGAGGTTTGGTCATGCTAATTTTATATCACTTAAACATATGCACAAGTTTGAGCTAGCTGAAAATATACCAGATATAAGTGATGAAGCTTGTGTGTGTGATGTGTGTCAAACAGGTAAACAAACCAGGTTGCCGTTTCCAAAAAACCAGTCAAGAAGAGCCTCAGAAAAACTGGAATTAATACACACAGATGTATGTGGTCCAATGAGGACTCCAACACTGAATGGCAGTAGATATTTTGTGCTCTTCATTGATGATTTAACAAGGATGTG